CTCTCTCCCCCAGTCCGGCTGAATTCCCTCTCTCTCCCCCAGTCCGGCTGAATTCCCTCTCTCTCCCAGTCCGGCTGAATTCCCTCTCTCTCCCCCAGTCCGGCTGAATTCCCTCCCTCTCCCCCAGTCCGGCCGAATTCCCTCTCTCTCCCCCAGTCCGGCTGAATTCCCTCTCTCTCCCCCAGTCCGGCTGAATTCCCTCTCTCTCTCCCAGTCCGGCTGAATTCCCTCTCTCTCCCCCAGTCCGGCTGAATTCCCTCTCTCTCTCCCAGTCCGGCTGAATCCCCTCTCTCTCCCCCAGTCCCGTTGAATTCCCTCTCTCTCCCCCAGTCCGGCCGAATTCCCTCTCTCTCCCCCAGTCCGGCTGAATTCCCTCTCTCTCCCCCAGTCCGGCTGAATTCCCTCTCTCTTCCCCAGTCCGGCTGAATTCCCTCTCTCTCCCCCAGTCCGGCTGAATTCCCTCTCTCTCCCCCAGTCCGGCTGAATTCCCTCTCTCTCCCCCAGTCCGGCTGAATTCCCTCTCTCTCCCCCAGTCCGGCTGAATTCCCTCTCTCTCCCCCAGTCCGGCTGAATTCCCTCTCTCTCCCCCAGTCCGGCTGAAGTCCCTCTCTCTCCCCCAGTCCGGCTGAATTCCCTCTCTCTCCCCCAGTCCGGCTGAATTCCCTCTCTCCCCCAGTCCGGTTGAATTCCCTCTCTCTCCCCCAGTCCGGCTGAGTTCCCTCTCTCTCCCCCAGTCCCGTTGAATTCCCTCTCTCTCCCCCAGTCCCGTTGAATTCCCTCTCTCTCCCCCAGTCCGGCTGAATTCCCTCTCTCTCCCCCAGTCCCGTTGAATTCCCTCTCTCTCTCCCAGTCCGGTTGAACTCCCTCTCTCTCCCCCAGTCCGGCTGAATGAAGGACAATCTCCCCTTGCAATATTAAGAGAGTGACTCGAAGAATAGAAAACGGGAATTACTGGTCATGTGGTGTTTAATGATACCGATTTTGCAAAAATAAGGATAATAATGATAATCAAGATAAGTAATAGTGATAAAGATAGTGATGGATAATAATGTTGATAATATCAATAATGATAATGACGAAATAATGATGATAGCAATAATAATATTAATGATAATAATTATAATAATAATAATAATAACACCAATACTATTACTAATTATAACGAAAATGAGAATAATTAAAATAGTAATAATGATAGGAAGAATAACGATAATAATGATAATGATAACGTAAGGTGGTCTTGGAAGCTGCATCTCGTCGTCTCTCCCGCTCTGGCCGCCGCGTCGGAGGACTGGGCGCTGTTTGATTTCCTCGTTTTTATGTACTTTTCTTGTTTTCCCTCAGTTTCCTGCTTTTTATTTGGTTTTCTGTGATTATTTTGATGATAAATTAGTAGCGAGACATTCTTATGAACTTACTTTTATAAGCTTTTATTCATTTTAGTGTTTTAAAATGACTTTTTTTCGTTTTTAATTTGAGTTATGGGGAAAGCGTTTCAAGCGTTTTGTTTATTCTGTCTTTTAAGTATATTGCATTTCTTTTTCTATGGTTTTCCTTTTTATGCTTTCCATTATACGTTTGTCCATTTTTATTTGTGTGCTTTAATAGTATTTATTCAAAGAAAACAGTTCTTAAAAACGTTTGCCTCTGACGTCATGGAGGCAATGTAAACACTAAGTTTTTCAAATAAGAAAAAGATGGTCAAGACAGCGAGTGTTTCGTCTAATCCTCTGTGATGAACAACCGGCAGCGTCGCCATTTTTAAGTGACCAGCGAGAGGCAGTCACGGAAGATCTTTTTTACCGATGAACTTGGCTGTCGGGATTTATGCTGTCGTATTTAATTGTTTCACCTGTGACGCCGGATTGCTGGGTTTGTCTTTATTTTAGTGGTAAGGCCTTCAGCCGGACTCTCCACTTTTGCTAGTCCTTTCCTTTAGTTGTTTTATGCAGCTGTTTTAGCTATTTTGCGTGGCTTCAGCACATTCTCTTTTACGTTTTGTATTTTTAAGATTTTTCATTGGTTCATTTGAGTATTTTATTCTAGGTCAGGATGAACATCGGAAAGAGATTATCGGGCAGGAACAAACCCATGTAAATGATTTAAATTCCCCCCATGCTACCACTTAAAAGAATTTGAATTGTCAGGTTAGCCTGGTCCTTTCCACCTGTGTCCCTTGCCAGCATCAAGCAAGGGAAAGAATTCTGTGCACGACGACTTGATAAACCGGGACGGGATCCTGGGTTTCATGATCACACTACAACATTGAATGTGAATACAAACAGCAATTATTATATATATATATATATATATATATATATATATATATATATATATATATATATATATATATATATATATATATCGGTAGTATTCATCGCCTAAAAATTTCCATAACTATAGATAGACGATAGACAATAGTTAGATAGTATTCCCGCCCGTCTGCCGGCGGGGAGAGGGGGAGAGGGGGCGAGACCGGCCGCAAACACACACATACGCA